AAAAAAAGATAAAGAGAGTGATAGAAAGAGACAAAGAGAGAAAAAGAACGAAAGTTAAGAAGAAACACAGGGAGAAGGAGAAGGTGAGAGGCAGACCCCCCATGAATGTTCAAATGCTTTTTCTGATTAATATTATGCTAGTATTTGTTTTTATTGTTCTTTTTTTCCATCTCGTAAATATACTAGCGTTGTAATTTCCTCGTGAATACACCAATTTTCTCTTGAACAGACACCACTCTTCTATTTAATCTAGCAATACATTTTTTCTTATAGGTATTAACAGTGTTTTCCTTTTTAGTAGATACTGCAGTAGTGTTTAATGTAGCTCTTTATCGTAAACAAAGCTATTCTGCTTTACGTAGCTTTATGTTGTACATTCTGCTTTTCAAAAAGTAAATAAAGCCGTATTCTTTTTTCTCTTGAATACTATATCACCACTAGTATTTCTCGTAAGAATAATAGTATAAAAATTTCTTTATGAAAAATATAGCAATGTTTTTCTCATAAAATTTATTATGTCAATTTTTCCGCATTAATATTGCATTAGGATTTGCTGTTGTTGTTTTTTGTTGTTGTTGTTTTTTGTTGTTGTTGTTGCTGTAGTTGTTTTTTTTTTTATTGTTTTCTTTTTGTTGTTCTTTTTATCAATCATAGATATGTGGGTATACTTTTCGAAATATAGCAATACTTTTTGGAGAAAAAAAATATGTAGCAATGATTTCGTTTCCAAACCACCAGGCCATCTAGGAGAAGTGTGACCATGTTCCAAACACAGAGGTGTCTGACGTCACTTGGTGTTTGTGTCGTACTCTTTGGAGGTCTTCTTTTGGCACAGGTGAGACACCTTTACAGGTTAATCCTATCCGTACGTCGTGTTTTACTATCGTGTTCTTACGATGTGGAAAACGTGCTTGTGTTGTACTCTTTGGAGGTCTTCTTTTGGCAGAGGTGAGACACCTTTACAGGTTAATCCTATCCGTACGCCGTGTTTTACTATCGTGTCCTTACGACGTGGGAAACTCTGTGCCACCACTTTCCAAAGAGGAAATTTAATCGTTAATCCGAACCTTCTGCTTTGCATAGCAGTCTGACAAAATGATATTTTGAGAAATACTGAAAGTTCCAAAGAGATTTTTTGCACTATAAGTATTCTAAAATGTGAAGAATACAGCCCCGAGGGGTATAAAACTACCCCACGATGTACAAATAGGGTTAAGCATTTGTTGTGACTGTTGTTTTTGCTGGTGTTGTTGGGTGGAGGGGGTGATGGTGGTTGTGGTTTTGGTGTTTTTACTGCTGTTGTTGGCGTCACTTTGTGCTTGTGTTATACTCTTTGGAGGTCTACTTCTGGTGGGGGTGAGAGTGTATGGTTACATGCAGCGTATTTGATGTTGTTGGTAATGATGATAACAATGTTGTTGCTGTTGTTGTTGTTGTTGTTGTTGCTGTTGTTGCTGTTGTTGCAGCTGTTTTGTTGTTTTGTTGTTATTGTGTTGATGGTGGTGATGGTTGTCTTTGCTGTTTTTATTGTCAGAGTCGCTTGAAAGTTAGATGATGTAATCATTTAATGATGAGTGCTACCTTTTAAGACTCATTGGAGTGGATCAAACCTTATATTTCACCATCATCCATCTTATGTTAACTAAACATTCCTATCTCCCCTTTCACCATTCCATATCTTAAATTCAGATTGCCTTATCTTTTTTAAAATTTTGGTGTCCCATTTCAAACATGAAATGCAGCTGTGCATTTTTTAAATCCCTTTTTTAAGTTGTAGTAAGAGTTTTACGGCAATTTCAACTCAATTAGGTCAAATAAGGGCTGAAGACTAGAAATGTAACAAAGAAAAGAAGGTTGAAAGATGCGGACAACGAAATACTACGTTATCCTTTTCAATAATCTTAATTGTATTGATGGGGGCGTAAAACACCTATCTGTGTTAGAACAAATTTGTATCAGTCGCTTGTCAAGCTTAAGGTTTATGGAGTTATTGCTATCATCGTAAAGCTTGTTCAATATGTCCTGCTTTTGGTTTGTAAATACCCTGATCTATCTTGATAAGAACAAGAGATATTGGCGTTTGAATGGGGTATTGGTCACCTTGTGTCGGAGGTAACATTTTCTGAGAAAATGGCCACCGAAGTTTGGTATCTTCCATATTTTGATGGTGCTGGAAAAATGACAATTTACATTTTTTGGTGCCTTTTGATCATCATTTTTCAGTAAAGACAACACAAAAATGTGTCATTCAATAGACACGTTCAAGAGGTACTGAGCAGAGAAAGAAAATAATATGAGAAAAATTAGCCCGCGGTCAGAACAATGCCGGCTTGAATGATTACATTATCTTGACGAGCGATTGATTTCCCCACGATTCCTCCAGTATGTTTACCTTGAAAACGATCTGAAGCGTGTCGATTATCCCTTTGAAAGTCCAACAGTCTATTTTATTGTTTTCTAATATATTTTTGTTTTATGAGAGTCAGGATGACACTCGACCTAAGGTGAACCCTCTGGCTGCCCAGATCTGGGCCCTAAAAGTTCGGGAATTGTCCAGGAAGCACATCCTCAGGTAGGGTATACAGTTATGATAGCGTTTGATCCTGTGTTTGTGCGTTGTGTGCGTGAGTATGTTGTGAGGGTTTTTAATGTGTGTGCAATGTTGTATGCGAGAGAGAGAGAGAGAGAGAGAGAGAGAGAGAGAGAGAGAGAGAGAGAGAGAGAGAAAGAGGGAAGGATAGAGGGAGGGAGAGAGATGGGAGAGAGAGACAGAGAAAGAGAGAGTGAAGAGAGAAAGAGGGGGGAGAGAGAAAGAGAGAGCGAAAGAAACAAAAAGAAAGGAAGAAAGAAAGAAAAGAGAAAGAAGAAAAAGAAGGAAGAAAACAGGGAGACACTCAAAGAAAGAATGAGATAAATAAAAAAGAGCAAAGGGGAATGAAAAAGAAAAAGGAAGATATAAAGGAATAGAGAGACAAAAAAAAAAGATAAAGAGAGTGATAGAAAGAGACAAAGAGAGAAAAAGAACGAAAGTTAAGAAGAAACACAGGGAGAAGGAGAAGGTGAGAGGCAGAGAGACATAAAGAGAGAGAGTAAGAGACTGAGAAAGAGACAGAGAGA